ATTTAAAACTTTGAAAGAAAATAATTGCCAATCAAGAATTACATATATATAAGAAAACTGTTCCTCAAATATGACAACAAAATTGGGGCATTTCCAGATCAAAAGAAATTAAGGAAACTTATAAAAACTAGACGAACCTTTTAAGAAATGCTAAAGGGAGCTCTTTTAACAGAGAATCAACAACAGTAGCCAAGAAATAGAGATTAAGACATGTGACTACACCACTTGAAAATCAACCAGATAGAGTAGTATTAAAATTAAATAAACCTACAAGATTGACAATAAGGAACCAGATATGTCAATTTGCAAATGATGATAACTAAAAAGTAAAAACACAGAATAAATTATGTAGGTACAGAAATTCCAAATAGAGAGGAAATCAAGACAATATCAAGACAGAATAAACCACTTTAAACTTGGGAAAATAATAATAAATTACAGGTTAACCTCAAAGAAAATTAATAAACCTTTTCACCAAAATGTAAAAGAAAATCAAAAAGTCTCAGTAAACTCTAAAATAATAACAAAAGAAATGATAAGAAAATCCATAAATAAAATGAATTCAGCACAGAAAAATACATTGAACAAACCAACCATCAACACTACAAAAGAAACAACACAGCAAAATGACAGTAATTATATTGAATATAAATGGATTAAATGTATCCGTCCAGAGACAGAGAGTAGTCATACACACAGCGGAATACTACAAAATGTTAAAGAATACCTCAGAATCTGCAGAATACCTCACAACATGGATTTACCTTGAGGACATTATGCTGAGTGAAATGAGTCAACCAGAAAATGACAAATACTGTACAAGGCCACTAATCTAAAAAAAGTCAAGAAAAGGTTTACACACAGAATGAATCATTCTTTGAAGGTTACCAGGGGTGGGAGGGGAAAGGTGGGTAATCATTAACTAGAGGGCAGACAAGTATTAACTTGGGTGAAGGGAAATGTAATATATAGTAATAGGAAGGTCCATACAAAATGATCAAGGCAGAGGAAGACATTGGAAGGAATGCAAAGTTAAAGGCAACAAAGGTAAATACTACTGTATACAAAATCCTGCAGTAACAGTAATAACAATAATCTACGAGCGGATACATATACAGACACTCAAGCTGAAGAAGTGTGGGAAGGTACCATACATACCCATGAATACATATAGGCAAGGCAGAGGATAGCTCTATATATGTATTTATATGTGCTGTAAATATATCCATGAACATAATAGAGCATACAGAGGCAAAGTTATGTAAACTTCTTAGCCATAATCAAATACCTTGAGGGAATGAGTCACTGGGCATTGGGGCTCAGGACCATAGTCCTAGGGGACAGTGAGGTCAACTGGTATAACACAGTCCACAAGATAATGTTCTACATCCTACTTTAGTGAGTAGCAACCGCGGTCTTAAAAGTTTGGGAGAGGCCATCTGAGGTGCAACTATTGGTCTCTACCCATCTGGGGCAAAGAAGAGTGAAGAAAATCAAAGACAAAAGGAAAAAATTAGTCCAAAGGACTACTAAACCACATGAATCCCAGCCTCCACAACCCTGAGACCAGAAGATGGTGCCCAGCTACCACTGCTGACTGCCTGAAAGGGATCACAATAGGAAGTCCCCCTTAGAGTGAAAGAAAAATGTGGAACAAAACTCAAAATCATAAAAAAAGAGCAGGCTTACTGGTTTCATAGAGACTGGTGGAATCTCTGAGACTATGGTCATTAGATACCCTTCAAGATTAGAAATCAACTCACTCCCATGACTTAACTTTCAGCAAATGATAGGCCTTTGAGTTAAACAATAATACCAAGGAGCTATGCACTCCTTAGAACAATCAACCATATGAGATCAAAAGAGCAATATTTGCCCGGGGATAAAGCTAAGAAGACAGGAAGGGATATGTGGTAGTTAAGTTTATGTATCAACTTGGCTGGGCCTGGTTGAGTGGCTGGGCAGCTGGAGGTAGTATTCCCCATGATGAGACTGGTAATCAACTCCATGGTAGAATATACTGTGAGCAGCTGAGTAGCTGCTTTAGGGATGTGGTCTGCTTCCTGTATGTAAGGACAAGCCTTGGGGAATGGTCTGTAGCTTATGGCATGCTTGGACCCTGCATGTAGCCATGTCATTGTTCAGAAGCTTGCCATGCTCTGCCAACCTTGGGACTCTCAATAGACTTGAAAGAATGGCCTGCTGTGTGTTTTGGTAACATCAGGACTGTGCTTTATTATTTGTCAACCTTGGGCTTGTCACTCTCAGCAGCCAACAGCTGTCTGAGTGAAGAAAAGCCTCTAGCTCCAGTGGGCTAGAAGCAGGAGGCAAAGCTGAAGCCCAAGGTTGAGAGGCTTTCACCCAGCCCCTAGAGCCTGGCACTTTGAACTCAGACTTAAAGCCTCCAAACTGGAAGAGAATAAACTCCTGTTTGTTCAAGCCATCCCATTTGTGGTATATTCCTGTCAGAGGAGCACTAGGTAACCAGAATAGGATAGGAAAGAAGGACAAAGAGAAATGGTAAACACAAGGAGAAAACAGGAAGAGTGCTATTACATTGTGGGTATTACAACAAATGTCACAAAACAAAATGTGTGTGAATTCTTGAAAGGAAAACCAATTTGCTCTGTAAACTTTCACACAAATCACAATTTTAAAAAAATTAAGTAAAAGAAAACCCTATAAAGCACAGTTCTACACTGACACACATGGGGTTGGCATGATTTAGAGTTGACTCTACAGCAACTGGTTTTATAATAGGTATATTTAAAGTTTTGCAAAACATATTTTTAAACATATACAACATAGTTTAAGGTATTCTTATAGAATAAATTACTAGGTTAGGTTGAAGCATATATATTCTTTATTTTAAGAAAAATATCAATTGCTATTCAAAAAAAGCTGTGACATATAATTGCTACAAGATGCTATAAAGGACAAAGATAAAATTCTTCACAGAACTAATAGAGCAGACCCAAAGAAGAGATAAATGCAAAAAAAAAAAAAAAAAAGCATTAAAATCACTTAAAAACCAATGACAGAACAAAAACAGCATACCTGTGTTTATTTTTTTTAACTTAAATCTGTAAACACATCTGTGTGATAGTCATTGTCTTAGGCTGGGTTCTTCAGAGAAACAAAACCAGTGATGTGTCTATGTATAAATATATAGAGAGATTTATTTCAAGAAAATGGCTCACACAGTTGTGGAGGCTAGCAAGTCCCAAATCCCTGAGTCAGGTATCAGGCTGGAAGCGTCTCCTGATTCAGGTGATTGCAGGAGCTGAGGAATTGCAAACCAGCACAAGACAGCACAGTAGGCTCCCTGCCCATGGATCAGGGCAGTTACACAGTGGGTGCCGACTCATGCAGTAAGAGAACTGAGCACTTTCAGGCAAGAGGCTTCCTGTCAGAGTAGAGTACTTCTGGGCATTTGTGGATGAAGGTGGCTTGCTGACCTATGGAGCAAGAGAGCTAAGCACCTTTGGGCAGGTAGTTTGCTGGCTGCATGAGGTGTTCCTGGCACTTACTGGTGGAACTAAAGAGCTTTAAAACAGAGGCAGAGGCCAGGCTGGCCCAAGTGACGCAAGAGGCCAAGAACAAAGGGCTGACAGAGAGGATTGCCTATGGGCACAGCCAAGAAGCTGTCCTGACCAAAGAACTGTATCTTGAGTCATTCCTGATCCTGAATTGTATCCTGTTATATCCCTACTAAACCCATAAATCATGAGTACTGTCTGTGAGTTCTGTGTAGTCATTGTAAAGAATTATTGAACTCAGTAGAGAAGCAGAAAATGCCTTGGGAGGGATGGCTGGTATCAGAATTAGTAAAAAAATTGGAGAGGTATGTCTGATCTCTGTCTCCTAAGAATCAGTCCTGGGCTGATATTGATAAATCTCAGTGCTCGTCAGGTTAGAGGAGGTAAGACACCATTCACATGCCATACAGCAGGCACGCAATGTGGGGCTCACTGCAATGATTCCATACTCAAGGAAGCACGAGACTTGGGAAGCGAAACTTTTGATTCTTAGATGGTTACTCTGGTGATTGTTACCCATAGTGACTCAAAGGAAAGTAAGAGATATTATATAGGAGCTGAGGGGAGAAAAGCCTCATCTGGAGGTTGGGGCCATTGCCCAGATGGTCTCAGAGAACAGAGGATTACTTTCAAGTGTTGAAAGCTAATGTAATTTGTTCTGCTGGATTTTGGACTTGCTTGGTGCGTACTATTTCTTCTTTCCCTCCAATTTCTCCCATTTGTAATGGAAATGTCTACCTTGTGCCTGTTCCACCATTGTACTTTGGAAGCAGATAACTCATAGTCTAGATTTCACAGGTTCACAAATGAAGAGGACTTTTGCCCCCTACTAAAGTTTCACCCATATTTTATTTAAATGATTCAGAAGATGAGATTTTGGAGTTGGAGGTGATTTAAGACTTTTGGGATGATGTGATGGGATGAATTATGTTTTCCATGCAGGAAGGACATGAATTTGGGGCAGGGCAAAGGTTGGGATGTTATGGATCAAACTGTGTCCCCCCAAAATATGTGCTATAAATCCTAACCTCTATGCCTGTGGTTATAATCCCATTTGGGGATGGATTGTCTTTGTTAGATTAATGAGACAGAATTAGTAAAGGGTGTGTTTTGAGTTGATCTCTTTTAAGACATAAAAGAGATTAAAACAAGAAAGCAAGAGAAGCAGAGATGGGGTAAAACAAACGCCAAGACACATGGAGATCTCCAAAGAACCAAGAAGCAGAAGCTGAAGAGACAAGGACCCTCTTCCAGAGCCAATGGAGAAAGAAAGCCTTGCCCTCAAGCTGGTGGTCTGAATTCAGCCTTTCAGCCTCTTAAACTGTGAAAGAATAAATTCCTGTTTGTTATAGCCATCCAGCTGTTCTAGCAGCAATAGAAAACTAAGACATTCATACATTCAAAATCTCTGCTAAAGTTGTTCAAAAGAATGAAAATACTACTAAGAAGAGAGAGAATTACCTGGAGATGCTCCTCAGGAACTATAACTGGGCCACATTTTGTATGCTCTGCACAGTCCCCGGTACAGTATCTATGAGGATCATTTTCCTTCCGTAGATATTGGTTTGTTGCACATTGTCTTCAATTCATTTGTACATAAAAATTTAATTACAAAAAAACAAGCAAACAATAGTTCACAGCAGTTAAAAACATTGTAAAAAAAAAAAGTAATTGCTATATTACTTTATTAATAGTTGTAACTATTTTAGTTAAAAAGTGGGCTAAGAAAGAATTTTTGTTCTATAGGAAATCCTCTTGATCTGATTTTCCAAAAACTCAAAGTACTTCACAAAGTCAATATTTAGACGCAGAAAGGAAGAAAAAGATCCATCTCACAATGGAAAGTTAGAGTAAGAATGACTAGACAACAGTTACTTTTTAATTTTTGTTAAACACCTTGCAGTTTGGTTTCTAAGAACAAGCATAATAAATTACTCTAGTATAACTGTTTGATACTGTGCTGTAGCAAAAGAACAGGGAAGGCACAGTCCTATACAATTGAAGAAAATGATGCATGTGTAGTATGACATACCTGCTCAGTAAGATAGTGCCAGCAGGTCTACGAACCTGAAAAGTCCTCTCTAAATAAGAAATAGCCTGTGGGAAGAGTTTGTTCTAAGTGAGGAGACTAAGAAAAAAAAAAAAAAAAAGCCAGTCAGAATTCTCGCCAAAGGATACATTATATTAAAAGAAGTAAAGCATAGGATATTAATGCCTGAGCAGAGGAAAGGGGAAATGAAAATGACTTATAATTCAGAATACAGACACTAGGTAGTCAAAGGCTGTGTGGCAGGGGATAAGGGAGAGGGGGTGGGTCTAGGAGCAAGGGAACTTTCTGGCTTTTGAGTTTGGGAAAAGAGTGGTAGGGACAAACTTCCTTCACTAATATTCATTTAAGCAGAAAACATAAATCTCAACTATTTATCTAAATTATTTCAAATTTGAGACTATGTGAGATGATCCCCAGCACTAAGGTGGTTTATGTTAAGAATATCTTACATTTAGAACATCTACTTTAACCTTGCAGATTTCTGTGGCCCAGAATGAGTTGCCATAATGAAAGTTATCCGTCCCAAAAGTGCGATCCTCTCACAGTTAAAAATCTGATGAGGCTACCGCACCTACAAACCACTTTGGCATACCAAACAAGAATGCCTTTTCCCAAAGCTTATTGGCGGTTACCAGGGGCAGTAGGGAGGGAGATGGGCAAGTTATTGCTTAGGGAGTACTGAGTTTCTGTTAATGGTGTAGGAGAACTCAGGAAGTGGATGGTAGTGATGGATGCACAACATAATGAATGTAAACAGTATCATTGACTTGTGCACGTTAAAACTGTTGAATTTGTAGGTGTTTTGTTACATATATTTTTACACATTAAAAGACAAAAACAGATGGTGGGCTAGATATCTAGACCCACAGGTTCAAAGTGTGCCAACCCCTACTCTAGCACATGATTCCATACAATCTCAGATTAGTTGCAACTTTCGTGTTTTATTTTCACCAGTTCTAAACTTGGCAGAACGATATTTGTTTTTCTTTTTTTTTTATTAGGATTTGGGTGAAGATTTACAGAGTAAATTCACTTTTCATACAGCAGTTCACATATACTTTGTCTCATGTCATTGACCAAAATTTACAATGCAGCAGCTCCCCTCCCACTTCCTCCCCATAGTTACCTCCTCCCAGTGTCCATCCCTTCATACTCTTTTGCATCCTGAGCTATCTCCCTGTGCATAAGCAGCCCTTCCTTCTCCCATGATTGTTCTCTCCAGGGCGTGTGTCTACTTGAGGTAAATGTTTAACTCACATGCCTGTACTTTGTTTGGCTGGAAACCACAGTTGTGGGTTCAATTCCAGACCTGAAGGGCAACTAGGGGCCATAGTCTCAGTGGTTACACCAGGCTCTATTGGACCAGCAAACCTGGTCCCCACCTTCTTTTTTTTTTTTGCCTCCAAACGATTTTGAGTTTTGTACCACATTGTTCTCCCTCTTTATGTAGGATCTCCTACATCCCTTCCAAGTGGATGGCAGTGGTAGCTGGGCACCATCTAGTTCTTCTGGTCTCATAGTTGTATAGGTTGCAGATCGGATGGTGTACCAGTCGCTAGGACTGATTGTTTCCATTAATTTTGCTTTTCTTCTTTCTTCTTGACGAGGAGACACCCATTGTTGCATATAGATGGCAGCTTCCTAGCTTTTAAGGTCCCAGTCGCTACTCGCCAAAGTAGTAGGTGGAACAATGTTCTGTATAGTATGTTATGCCAATTGAGCTTGATGTCCCCTGCGACCACGGTCCCAAGCCCGCAGGATCAACTACTCAGTCCCTCTGGGTAGCTGGCTGTGACCAAGTAATGACCATAACCTTGCCCCTTGTCAGCTCTACTATACACCTGGGAATTCTGATCATTCACATGAACTTATAGGCCCATTGTCTGCCAACCCTATATATGATCTTGGATACACTCTCCATTTAGACATACCTAATTGTTTAGCTTCAGAGCGATATTTGTTTGCAAAATGATTTAACAGTAATAATATCAGATATTGAACAAAGAAAACTAAAGAATTTGGAAACCAAAAAAAAAATGTTTTAGAAGACTTTTTCTACTCTATTCTCAGTATACCCTGCTCCCAAAAACTTGTGAGAGAGAGCAAATAAGAAAATGAGAAGGCTAACTTAATATCAAATTATAAAATAAGAGAACTAATTTAGTACAAAATACAGACAAGGCCTTAGTGAGTACATCACAAATATATCTTTGGTTAAAATGATAAAACATTTACTACCAACACATTTTATTAAGTCATTCACAAAACAGCCACATACATGTTTTTCTCAACTGAAACAAAATTATATACAATAAAATGTACCCATTTTAAGTATACTTTTCAAGTCAGGTATATTTATTACATACCTTTACAAGGTATCTTTTCTCAGGAAGCAACCTGAAAATGATGAGATAAAACATAAGAATTATGATGCTAGACCAGACCATTGTCTCAGTTGTTCAGAACACTTTTGGCAAGAGCTCCAAGGACACTGTGTGGAAGTATGCAGTATCTGTCCTCAATAATCTCAATTTACCTCAATGCACATCTGAGAGTTTACTATGTGCCAAAGCACTGCACCAGGCACAGTCATCTGTTATCTAATCAATTTGGAATGGTTAAGGACAAGCAAAGACATCAACTACTCCTAATAGCTCTTCATAAACCACTATCAATTTATAATTTATCTTTTTCTGGACTCTTCTTAGATTTAATAAAACATTAGACTATTATCACATTCAAGTTAATAATTTTGTAAACTTCCTTATTGTTGTGAATATTAGTATTTCCCATTATTTCCCATTATTTTTCAAGTACTTATTGAGAGGCATCTTCCAGATGTGTTATTGACTGCATCCAAGTAGATCCACTTTTGTTCTGCTTCAGTTATTCATGATGCATAGGTTTTAATCATATGCCATAACCTTCATCTCCCAGACTAGAAAGCATTTTTAGCTTATTTGCATCTTAGAGTATAGCTGTACTATATAGCCTTTACTTAGTTCCATCTACGGACTTTTAAAAATTTCACTTAACATATAAAAGTACCTTTAATATCTAAATTCACAATAAAAGAAATGAAACAATACTGATGTACTTACTCTTCAATACTTTTATCATAGACAGTCTTGATTCTTAAGTGTTCATCAATATCTCTCTTTACTACATGATTTGCTTTAAGATAAACTTTATTAATGACCTGAAAAAAGAGAATAGATTTAAAATTATATGTATGTTATGAATATGTATATATTTATATATATGTACAACATATGTATACACATACACACATATATATACATATATATGTTGCATAAATTAACCAAGGTCCCAATTTAAATTTAGTAACTGAATTTCAACCAAACCCAGTGCCATCAAGTTGATTCACATTCACAGTAACCCCCACTGGGTTTCCCAAGCTGCAAATTTGTTTTTTTTATTATTGTGATTTGGGTGAAAATTTACAGAGCAAATTCACTTTTCATACAGCAGTTCACATATGCTTTGTCTCATGACATTGACCACAATTTACCACAATGCAACAGTTCCCCTCCCACTTCCTCCTGATAGTTACCTCTTCCCTGTGTGCATCCCTCCATGCACTCCTGCTCCCTGTGCATAAACAGCCCTTCTTTCTCCCATCATTGTTCTCTCCAAGGAGTGTATCTACCTCAGATAGATGCTCAACTCATATGCCTTTTGTTTGGCTGCAAGCCACAGGTGTGGGTTCAATTCCAGACCTGAAGGGCAGCTAGGGGCCATAGTCTCAGTGGTTCCACCAGGCTCTATCAGACTAGCAAACCTGGTTCCCCCCCTCTTTTTTTTAATTCCCCAAATGATTTATAGTTTTGTTCCACACCCAAGCTGCAAGTGTGTGTGGGAATAGACTGCCTCATCCTCCCTCAGAGCAGCTAGTAGGTTTGAACCGCTGACCTTCTGGTTAGCAGCCAAATGCTTTACCCAGTAAGACACCAGATCTTCTTCACAGATTAACCAACTGAGGTTTCAAGTTAAAATTAATAACTGAATTTCAAATGTAATGCCTAAAAAAAAGTCCCTTAGCTTATACTCTACTGTTTCAACATTCCAGAGCCTCAAACACTAATATCCACGTTAATACTACCATTTGTGAGATTGCTACTATAAATTTGAGTCACAAGACTAAATATCTCCATATAGTAACAGCAGCTGCCAGAATGTTTTTAGGTTTCCTATCAGTTATTTAGGAGCTCTGGTAGCATAGTGGCTAAAGCACTTGACTGCTAACCACAAGGCTGGTGGTTCAA